TAAAGTTCCACAAACGCTAAACGAAAAAGATCAGTATATCTGATCACGTCGAAACATATGTTCAATCGATAGTTCTCAAGAAGACGCTCAAAAGCATCTCCTTCGACAGTCGGTATAGATTCCACGAGGACGAAGCGAGAACGATGAGTACAACAAATCTGAGCGCGAGACAAGTACTGCCAGAGTGCTGGGATGAGATCCAGCGCTAGAACCAATAAAGCGAAAATTAAAACTAACCTCTATATTTTATTTTTATCATTATTATTAATATTAGTATTATTATCAGTATCATGATTATTGCTGTTGTTGTTATTATAATAATTACCATTATTTAGTAAATAGTAGTAATATAATTATCAATAATATGATTATAATTGGTTTCTTTGACATAAAACCTCATAGGTGTCGTATGACTTAAAGTTGCGATTAATTTTTAGTTAAAGCTTCAAAGACGATATTGTTTCCAAAATTTGATCTACTACAGAAATGAACAATGTTTTGCAAATGAAATATATCGAGAATTTATAACTACACAGCATGATATTTTTTTGGTCACAAGTGCTTAATTTTTGTATTGATGGGGCCCTGTGCAGTATTATTGTTTCAATAAATTAGTTATTAAAATTTAAATTTGCAAGCATCATTGGCAGTTGGACCGGTGACGTCGAAAGAGAAGGTATCTGTGGCTGATAAAATTGAATGGATGGATTTTTTTCTACAGAATTTGCGATCAGTATGTATTTTCAAATTTCCTCTTTCTGTGTGCAGTATGTGGGTTGTATTTGAGTGTAATGATTAAAATAAATATCCTGTTTTAGTACTGTAAGCATTAAACTATCAATTTCAGCAGATTCATATCAGTTCAGCTATGTTCCCATCAGATATATATCATGCTATGCATTCATGGATTCTCAAATGCCAGGTAAAGAAGGTTTCATCTGGTAAAGATAAATAGCTCTGTCACATAATTTTTTGTCTCTAAGATTCCTTAAGGCATGTTTTAGACATTAAGCAATGTTGTCATTCCAAGTAACATGCTCAACGATTTTATAGGCACTGTTGGAAATGGTGAAAAGTAACCAAGAAAAAGGCTTCGTACGGTAAACGTATTATTGTCATTGCAAATATTTCGAATCTATGTCATGCATACATTTATTTACTAAATAGCTATTATAATTATGAGTTAAATAATATGTTAGTGTTGTTCTCAACAATTTTTATTCTTTTTAAGATTTTTTTGCGAATAAATGGGAGTAATTGAATTTATTTCTTTTTTTATCTTTAAAACGTAATGCGATGCTAAAATTTGTTCTCAGTTCGAAACAAGACGAGTTGTTTAACATTTCAGGTCGAAAGGTAATTTTTTTATTCAAAATGATGTGTGATCAAAACTAAATTATAATTTATTCGAAATAAATCCATTAAAATGGGTTGTGAACAATTCATGTGTTCTGTACAGAGTAGTTACTATGAAAATTTCTTGCTACGATTAACAAAGATTGAATCTTAAAAGTTCACATCTCATTATAGTTTCTTCTGAGTCATTTAGTATTTCATACAGCGAGTTTTTAGAATAACTATTTCATTGAATTTTGCTGAAAATTTCATGGCATGAAAAAATTTTTGCTCTCAAGTATATTGTAAATGGTCAATGAAACTCATAAACGATTTCAAAGGTCATGTTTATTATTGAATTTCATCTAATTGAGTCCGAGAAATCGATTATTAGAATTTGCTGAGGCATAATATTTCGTAGTTGTTTGATGGTGTATGATGCTGCTAACTAATAAATTTGCAGGAAAAACTGCTAACATAAAAAACCAACTCTATAAGTGATGATTTTGGTCAGATTAATGCTGAAGCAGTCGTTCCTAGTGATGGTCTCGAAGGTATTTTTCTTGAATCAGTATGTATTCTAAAAATAACAACAATCTGGTATAGTTATTATACAGACTACGAATCGTCAAATTATTAACTGCTGTACTCACCTGTTAAATTGCTGAGTACTGTACTCGCTTGTATATCGGCACAATTTGTACAACTTTTTACTATCAATTCTTTTAAGGTTGGAGTTGCAATAAAAAATATATTGAACGAGTATCATCTGGTTACATGTGCATGGTATGCCGAAAAATATATGGTCGCTATAATTCAGTATCATACCATATAACAATTTACCACCGAAATCGACCAATTCATTGTGATAAAGATGGCTGCCAGTTTAGCACTCGTTAAGCACGCTATATTCATTTTCATAAATTTTATCGACATCAAATACCCTTACCGCAAAGTATCAATTTAGGTAAGTTTTTATATATAACAATGATTGAGTTATTATTTGTCGCTTTATGTAATTACCAACTACTTTAGGTTCTCGAAAATGCTCCTTTTGTAAGCATATCTCGAAAAGTCCTGCAATGTTAGAAAAGCATTTGAGTCGTCACATGCAAGAATGTAGTAGAGCAGGTAACGTTTTGCATTGTCCGAAATGTGAAAAACAGACCAGCTCAGAGAAACAATTATTGGACATAGAAAACTTAGTTCTTCAGATTCAATATGGCACTTCATATTGAATCTGAAGAACTAAGTTTTCTATGTCACCAGTGTAAATATCGGTTTGTAACAATCACTTATTAATTTGTTATTATAAAGAAATCTAACATTCCGTCAAAATGCAAATTTTTTAATCTGAATTAATGTAGGTGTCAGGCTAGTGTAAATGAAGTGCATACATTCTGGCTTTAATTTTTTTTATGGTAGTGTGTTATTTTAACGCATTTTAGCTCTCAGTTTCAGTTCATAATTTTAATAAGTTCCGAATTAAAATAATTCTAATTCATTAATTCAAAATTGATGCATGGTTTTTAAATAGTATTTATGGACATTTGTTACTTTAGTTTACAAAAACGTCACTTTTTCTTATGTTAAATGTTCGTGTATTTCAGCAGACAAACAGAAATATCATCGTCAACATATACTTTTTAAGCATACTTCTGACATTCTTTCTAAAAAGTTTACGTCTAACCTGTGCTCATATACTTGCGCGGATACTATTAATCTTTCTATCCACTATAGAAAAGTGCATTGCAAATTACAGCAGTTATATCTTTAATATACTTAATTTTTGGTTTTATTGCTGTTTGAGTTTCAAAATTTATTACGTCTTTTTCCCTGTTAATTTGCATAATTAGTAAAACAAAAGTTACATTTTTTTTAAATACACAAAGATAAGTGATATTATTTCTCTATGACATGAAGTGCATACATTCTGGCTTAAAAAGAAAAATTAGCATTTTTACATCTAGTATTGCATTGGTTATTTTGACTGAATGTTTTCAATATCAAGGGATCATTAACAGTGAATATGAATAGTGAAAAACATCAAAATTCAAAGGTAAACAAATTAAACAGATTTATATGCATTATAAATCAAATTCTGTACAAAATTAACCGAATTATACATTTTAGGATTAACTCTTTGTGTGTGAGAGGAAGAATAAGCACATTTTATTTTTTTTTTAAATCAGAAAAATTTGCTGAACAATTTTTGTTACAAAGTTCATATTTTTTTCAGCTGATCTTTAATGTCAGTATACAGAATTCTGTTATTGTGAAAAACAAAAATAGCGTTAACTGTTATTGAAAACGTAGAGAAATTTCAATTGAATAAAGTGAGTTACCACTTAAGAAGCACTTGCAAAATTAATAATTGATGATAATTGGTTCGGGCAGAATTTTTATGTTCTAATTAATTTTACATTAAATTAAATTTCTAATTTTACGAAATTCTCATGCTTTATATATCAAAGAGACACTTTGTATTTGTATATGCATTTCTGTGTGGAAATTTTAACTTGATTATCAGAATAAAATGGGTTTCTTACTGAGAATCAAAAATAATCACCCAATTACTAATTTGTGGATTTGGGTTTGTAAATTAATTCAAAATGAACAGACATCAGAAATTAGCTCTTAGAGTTTTGGGTATGTAAAATTTAACACAAGCTAAATCACATTTAGGTATTGACTAAAGCATGGTGTAATGCCAAAGAATAAAGCTGATTTCTCATGTATTTTCCATGTAGCTCATCTGATTGCTAGCCTTAAAGCTTTCAGTGAAAAACGCGGTATTTTTAATTGCTAATGAATTGGTCCGGCATATACTGTGCCAAAATCGAATAACAACAACTTCAAATCTTTTAATCAAAAGTGCACCAAACTTAGTCGTAGTCTTATACATGTGAGTGATACATTAATGACAGAGCTCGGTTCAAAGTAGAGCTAAACACTAGCAAAAAGTCTTCTGAAGACTGGACTTGTAAATTTATCAGCACTTGGTATGTGAATTCAGTTATGCAAATTTGTGGAATCATTAAAAAATTTCCATAATCACTTAAATTTGTCAAATGACAACACTAAATACCTGTAAACGTCGAATAATAAATCCATTTAGTGTTTGGGTATGCTATCAAGGAAGCCGAGAGAAGGGTCTGCTCTGGAACCACCTAAATTAACTCTTGAGAGTTCATTTACTCTCAAACAACTTTTTAATGAACCACCCGTTTACGATGAATTATGTTTTTACTGCTCAGAAGGTTCGAATTTCAGTTTTGAAAGCGAGTAAGATTTCTGCATCGTATTTCGGCTCAGTACAACAGAGTGCAAATTGAGCAAATTTTCCACTAATTTAATTCTAAACTGAAGCATTTTTATCACTGATGTTCACTTTGAAGTAGTCTAATCAGAATTTGTACTCTGCCAAAGTAATATTAAGTAATTGTTGCATTAACATGGTCAAACGTCTACTTCACATTTAAGCAGTAGAAGTTTATCCCATAATCTTTTTTGGATTCAACAAGCTAAGCCATGCAGTTAGCAACAACTCCCTGCAGTCATGATTAATTTTTAATTTTTATATGTGTCAGCATCTAATAAGATTGCGTCAAGGAGTGAAAGCAGCTCCTACCAAAGTTCATTCAGCAGAGGTTTTCCTTATTATTTTTGGCAAAATAACAGTGGAAAATATTACAGCGGCTATCTTACTTATTTCCTAAAGTATTTCAATACTTCAACTGTTAATCTGACTGAATTTTCACCAACATGAAAGAAATATTATCATAAAACTGAATTCACATAGCGAGTATGTTTTTTTTGCATCCTAGATTCGAAATAGATGAATGAAAAAATGCATTATATATACTGTAATGAATATAAATCATGAATTATCCATATAATGCATGCATTTTATGCGATTTATTGAAGAAATAGTAAACTTATGACGTACATAGTTTCTGAAATAGGCGCACGCTGTTCAAATCACGATAATCCACAGTTACGACTACAAATGGAGCAGCAATCACATACAAATATCATGGAATCTTTGTTAGAAGAAATTTTTGACAACGAAATAATTAAGAAGGAAAACGTGAATGTAAATATGCTAATTGCTGTAAATAACTTGGAAGAAAAACGAAGAAAAAAACCTCAATCAGACAAAAAAAGTGCCAGAAATGTAATAATAAAAGAAGGAACAAAAAAAAATCGAGCCAGGTCTGAACAAAAAATATCTAATGACTAGTAATTTTACTCTTTAGTTTTTGTCTTGCTTGTTAGACATGCAGCTAGAAAAGAGCTAGAAAGCTTTACTGGAGCTAGAAAGCTTTACTCAAGCATGTAATTAAAATTAAGTAATTAGAATCATTCTTAAAATAAAGTTAATCTTAAAAGACAAATAAATATATTTTGCCAATTTATCGAAAGGCTATGGCTTCTATTGGTCTCAAAATCAATCTCTAGGCGGAATTAAATATTAAGATTCAACAATTTTTTGATGAATATTCCAGATCACAGAAATTCTAAATTAACTTCGAGCACCTCATGCTCAAAAAATTAGCATAGAAATTGAAATTAGTTTTCATCTAACCTTCGAATCTATACATATATCAGCACTTATTTAACATTTAAAGCATGATAAATGAAGATTCTGAAGTACAAATACAACAGGCGCGAGCAATTGTACTCGATGAACATAATAATGATTTCACGACGAAAGTGGTATCTAAAGATATCGAGGTAATCTTCAGAAATTATATATATCGAGTCGTTATATATCTACAAATGCATATATTCAATATGTATATTGCTCGGCCCTGTCGATTTGCCGAGCGTTTGAACAGCCAACTAATCGAATCGCATTATTAGAAAGCAGGAAATGGAGGATAAAAGGAAAAGAACCGTACCTGTAATCATAAATGAAAACAAATTGAAACCAGGTAAGATTGTTGAAAAAAGCTTCGTGAAGGATATGGGAAAGCACTCGACCAGTACACCAGAACCAGCAGAATTGCGTGCGAGCACAGCCTGAGTGCTGAAACACGATCCAACGTGAGAATCAAGAACGCAGAAAAGTAGAGTAACCTCCAAATAATATATATATCAATCAATATCATACGGAGTCTTTTTTTCATTATTGAATCTGGCTCTAGATCGTATTCTGGCATTCTCGCTGCACTCGCCCCACTCTCAGTTCTGCTGTGCTGATCCTGCTGTTTCGTCCTCCTCGAATCCAAGGCGCAAATCGAATGAGATGATTTCGAGCGTTTTATTGAGCACTATCGACTGGATATATGCCTCAACGCGATCAGACATGCTGCTTGCCTGCGCGTAATGATTGTGGAAGTTCGTTACAATCCCATCCCAAGTCATCATATAACGGAATGATTTTCGTCCTACATTTATCTCTGCCCCGAATTTATTAGCCAGTAAATCATACTTTCGCTTCTTCTCGGTCTCGACTGCCCTAACCAGTGATGTTAACCTCTACCAGGAATACTTCACGTCGCTTCTTCTTTTATA